TTTTTTAAAGACCAGATTTAGGAATCTAAAAAAAAAGCTGAATCTAAAAAAAGCTGAAAAATTATTGAGAGCAACAAACATTCCTCCCAATGCTCCCCCAACCCTTCTTCTATATTTTAAGTCGGTTACTTTGTCTGTGAATCAATGGGGAGACCCAGGCATGCCTGGTGAACGGGTTCTTTGACCAGTATAGGGAAGCCCAAAATTTTACACATTATCTCCATGTTTGAGTAGTGCTAAGACCCATCCATCTTAGTCATGTTTTGGGTAACAGACCCACTCTAAACCCATTACCTCCATGCTTGGAAACTTGTCAGAATGATTAGGGGCTGCTAGAGGATATGACCACATGTCTAGATGGGGATTCAAGATGGAGTCCTCCAGTTCAGATAGTATAAATACAACTGGGACAAGAACTGCCATTTTGAGCCTCCTTAAGTTCCCACCTTCTGCATGTTAGGGGGTACTCCTCTCTCTGCTTTCTATCTCTCCCTATTTTATGCCACTGTACTATGATAAATCCTTGTTAAATTGCCACCTGGTGAAACTTTTTGTGAACTCCCTCAACATGCTTTACAACACAGAATTCAAGGATTATGATTCACATGGGAATTGAGATGCCAAACCAAAGATTTCCCCCTTTCTCTCTCATCTTGTCCATTTCTCCATTGACAGAATGAGGAGGATTGTCAGTTATCTGTTTGGAAAGCAGGGGGTGAAGAATGGACTGTGACTGTGTGGCACCCTGGAGACCTCGCACATCTTCACATAAGCCACCTAGGCAAGGCTGAACTACAGTCTGAGCTGCACCTCAGCCAAATGCCCTACAATCCCCCTAGAGCAAGGGGGACCAAAAGCTTTGTAAGGAACTACTCAGCCTTCTCATCCACACTCCTAGTTACAGTTGAGAGCAGGCCTTTCCAACACACACACCACCACTACTGCCATCCCCACCACCACCACACCACACCACTTAGTGCACAAAGTAGACTACAAAACTGTGATAATTTGGAGGCAGCCCCTCAATGACTGAGTGACCCACTGCTCACACTGTCATCTGGTCCCTCTAGTTTCATGTCATGTGGTAGGACCAGTCTTGAGGGTAGACATTGAACATCCTTGCTTCTGCTGTATTTGTAAATAACAAACTGCCTTGATCTGTGTGTGTTCATCATTCCCTTACCAGCTGGGTCCATGGAGGTGTGCCTTGTCACCAGCATTTGTAGTAGCATTAGCCTTCATGCTGTCACTTGGGCATTATGTCACTGCTTGACAAACTGGCACTCAATATGGGACTGGTGAAGTTACAATACCTTGTTGGAGAAAAGACAGACAAGGCCACACAGTCTGCTGAGTTGAGGGCTGTGAAAAGCTTCCCCAGGATCTGAGGGGCTTGCTGCCACCCAAGGGTAGGCAGGAGGAGGGAAGAGGGTCCTACCTATGAAGGAGTGTTTGCAGGGTACACAGCAGAGCAGAATTGAAACCAACCACCTGAATGCTACCCATCCTGATCTCCAGCGCATTCTTGGGCTCAAGGATCTTTCCTGAAAACTATTTCACACATCAGGTAAATTAAGGTCCACTGGGGCTGGGCAGCCAGAGAGTAAAATTGGGAGCCAAAGGGAGTGAGAGAGGGAGAGAGCAGCTACTGGCTGCAAGAGGTGCTCCCAGTAGGGAAAGGCGAGGGTAAGGATGTGAAAATGGGGCCCCAAGTGCATACCTGGGAGCCCACCACTCTCCCCTGGCCCAGTCACACAGTGGCAGTGAGCAGTATAGAAATAAGGGGACACTATACCTACTAACAGAGGCAGGCGCAACAAAGGAAATTGTCAAAAGAAGGCCTCCACCCAGCCCTAAAGTCCTACGAGACTTCAAATTAGTGTCAGTGTTTCGCCTAATGGAACTTGTGGCAGGACCCTGCCTGTGGGCAGTCAGTAAAGGCACTCCTTAGTGTTTTGAGTGCAACAATTGCCTGACCAGCCCTGCTCTACACCCTACTGTGGTGGCAATAGCTGGCTTTTAACTGGGTGTTGGTGGACACTGAAACCACCTGGGTGTTGTTACTCCTAGGCATTCCCATTAGAAGAGGAGAAACCCCATAAAATGGGCACCGCCCAGCAAACATCTATCTTCAAAAGAAAATGAGGCCTCTAAAAAAGGAGCAAGGGCTGGCAGCATGGCTCAAATGGTAGAGCGCCTGCCTAGCAAGCGTGGGGCCCTAAATTCAAACCCCAATACCGCCAAACGCGCACACACACACATGCACGCACGCGCACACACACACATACACTCTCTCTCTCTCTCTCTCTCTCTGTACAGTTATCCCAGACATGGGTTCTGTGCAGGACTTCTTGTAAACCTCTCTACATTACAGTTGGTGTGGAGGCCTGGGCCTGAGTCACAGATCAGCTAAGTCAAAGGGCCCACTGGGCCTGGGCAACCATGGGGGGCAGTGGAGAGAGGGACACCATTTAAAACTGTGTATGAAGAAAAAACTCTGCCCCATGAGCAGAGGTGCAGACTTCGGTGCTTGCCCTAGAAACACCCTTTCCCTCCAAAATGTGTTGTTACATTTTTACCATCTGGCAGCCAGTAGCCAACGGCTGACAGTGTGGCCTGCACCTGAAGCTGAGTGATCCAGTTCCAACCCCGGCAGGAACAAACAATATGACAGAAGATGGCACAGGCCCATCCTCTCCTGTCATGACACTCAGGGATTCCCTTAAAAAGGAGCCTTTGGCAACGAACATGAGCAGAACCGTCAAGCTGACCAATCTGCATGGCCCAGCTGAGGAGCACAGCCACCTGGATACACCATTGCACAGGCATGGCGATTCAGCTGCAGTGTGGGACTGAGCCCAAGTCCCACATAGCACTGAGGTCCAGGAAGCGTGGTGAGTGGTGGCCACCAGCTCCAACAAAGGAACTTCGGGATGCATGGTCCACACACATTCCAGGCTGGCATATAGTCTCTGTAACCCCCTGCTCTCCTCCCAGGAGTAACATGGGGTGTCAACTACAGTTGACAATTTCTATTTGTAAAGAGGAACCCCTACAGTAAAGGTGGTCTCTGCCTTCCTAATGTACAAATTCTGAACACAGCAGTGTTGCCCTTTGTGTAGCCAAGAGTACCAGCACAGAGCAGTGAGCTGGACATTTGTGAGCCATTTCGTGCGTCCTGTCATCCCCAGGCAACATGTACCATTAAAAGAGGAAATGGGGCCAGCGCAATGGAGCATGCCTATAATCCCAGCTACTTCAGGAGGATCTCGAATTCAAGGCCACCCCAGGGAAAAAGGCATTGGGATATTGTCTCAAAAAGAAAATTAAAACGAAAGGACTGGGTACGTGTCTCAAGTAGTAGAGCTCTTGACTGGCACATCAGGCTCTGGGTTCAATCCCCAGCACTGCAAAAATGAAAGGATTTTTTTAAAAGATAAGAAATAAGTAGCCTCTAATAATTGTGATAATTCCTCCTGAAAACAAATACTCAAATAAAATGTTTAATTATGGGAGCTACCGGCTTCCGGGCTCCGGAAGCTGTACTCCTCTAGCTGTAGCCTTTCCTTTCTCTCTAATAAATCCCACTTTATATTAAAAAAAATGTTTAATTATGAGGCAGGAGGGGGAATGAGAAAAGGCCCAGTCTAGCTGTAAGAGACCCTAACCACAGAGCTCGCCTTTCTCACTCTTCCCTATGCCTACCTTTGGGGAACCGATGGGGCAGGGTGGAGTGAGGAGTGCGGCTTCTCTTACTTCCTGACTACGCTGGCTGGATCTGGGTTATGGATATTGATGATGACCATAAACGTGACAACTCCTAACACCGTCTGCTGGCATGGCCCAGACGTCAAAGGATGGAAGACATTCTAGGACCATGCACACTCATCACCTGTGGAAGAATCCAGCTGGGAGAGGTTATCACTGAGGTGTGACCCTGGCCTGGCTGTAGGTGAACATCTCCATAGTCTCCCTGAGACACCACATATAGGAGGCCACCTGGCTTCTGTACTGGAGCACTAACTCAGGTGTCAATCTCCTCCCTGACCCCCCACCACCACCCGCCCCACACACACACACACACACACGATCTACGGGTTTTTCCAGAAAGGTCTGCTACAGTCTTGGCTGCCCTTGGACACTCCTTAAACACTGTGGCCCCTGGGGCTCTGTCCAGAGGTCCCAGTTTAGCTGGTGCTAGCTGAGGCCTAGCAGGAGGGTGGCTGGCAGGACCTTACTGTTCTGCACGGCAGCAAGGCTGGCTGATCCCAAAAGAGGCTGGGAGGGTCTCTGCAGCATTGCAGGAACTCAGAGCCACCTTTGAGGGAGGGGTCAGGGTACAGGAACTAGTGGGTAACAATGGAGAGGTCTGAAGTGCTAGCAAGCTGCCACTGTCCTGGGTAGCTCCACCCCCTCCTGGGGAGCTCAACACCAGCCTCAGGTAAGTGAGGTCTTCTCAGCACCTCCCTCAGTCCTTTCTGCATGGTTGAGATCAGAAGCTTTGATGATGAAAGGCACACCAGAGCCAGGGTCAGTGACGAGATTTGCTCATGGTCCAGGGCCCAGCAGCAGGACTAGGTCCAGCTGCAAGGCCAGCTCACCCTCCAGTACTGCATCCCTGCCTAAGCCCATCCTCACCCCTACACCACTGTGAAACACAGCCATGCTGCCTGTTGTCACTCATCTCCTGTTAGGCAGCAGAAGGCTCTGCAGGTCACCTGACTCAAGTTTCTTGCTGAGAGGGGGAGAAACTGAGGCCAGGTAGGGCTGAAGCTGTCAGAGACCCAGCTCCTGCACTGGGTGGTCCTGCACTAGAACCACTGTTTAAATTAAGCCCAAGTTCCTGAGTGCTGCAGGGTCCTGAGCTTGGGGCATGTCTCAGTCATAGCACAGACCAGCCTCATGTAGTCCCGCTGTCCCTCTGCAGGCAGGCACACAGAGGTTACAGGCGTGTCATTCATGGGCCACTTGGGCCTGCTGGCACCGAGGCAGGCAAAGTTGGCTTAGTGGTCCCTGCTGTTTACATCATATATGCATGCATGGAAATATCACAATGAAACTCTTCACTTTGTACAATTAATATATCATAATAAAAAATAATAAAATACATTTAAGGAGCCTCTGCAGTTCACAACTGAGCCCACCCCCTCTACTGCACACTAGGACATGAGCAAGGGCTGCCAGAAGCCACCCAGCAGCTTGGCGAGGAGCTGGAACTTTCCTGCCACACAGCCCAGACAGGCCAGGGTGGCACTAAGGCAGAGCAGGGAAGGAGGCAGGTCCCCAGAAGAAGCCTCATGGGAGAAAGTCCCCAAAACCAAGAAACTTGGAGCCTTCTGACCACGAGTGAAGAAAGAGACTGATGGTGACATGAGAATTTCCATTTGAGCCCAGGGGACTAAAGCCAGACTTGGAAAAGATGTCAGGACTCAGCTGGCTGGATGGAAAGTGTTTTATGGACTACCCACCCCACCACCCTGCCACCATACAGAAGGCAACACCAAGAGGCTCAGTGATTTGGGTGCAAGGCTCAAGCAGACAGAAGCCAAGGTTCCTCACCCACACCACGCTGCTTCAGGGAGAGGCAGTTTCCCAGCCTGGACCAATGGCCAAGTGAAAGCCACCAGCTCCAGGGCCACCTCTCATCCTCACCACTGTCAAGGCAGTGGCAGCAGTGTCTCCCTGGGAAAAGCAAAATGCCATCTCCTCCAAGAGTCACCTCCAAGGGCCACTCCTCAGTGGCCTGACTTGGGAAGCAGGTGGGTAGTGCCTGCTCCGGGAAGTCCATGAGGCCCCTCAGCGCTGTACTTTGTCCAGGAGTGGCCGTGTTACCACAGCTCTCTGACCCAGCGGCAAGGCAGGCGGTACAGCCTCATGTCTTCCTTCTGGATGTGCTCATAACAGGACTGGGAGGAGAGAGACAAGGCTGGGGCCAGCTGGCTTGCCTACTCCTAGCCGCACGCACGGGCTCCAGCCTGAAGCCCAGTGCGCCCACCTCCCCAACCTGGGATTTCTGTGCCCCCTACTCAGTCTTTGTCTATGTTCTGCAAAGAAAACAGATCTGCCATCTCCTACTGTGCTTGGGGGTACAGCCTGGAGCTCCCCACAAATGGAGTCACTGCAGAAGCCCTCCCAGCCCCTTCTGAACAAAGGCAGTGCCGGGAGCAAGGTGAGAACCCTCCTCCCTGGAGATATGCACGGAACGAGACCTGAGCTCATGGTGTCTGGGGCGGGATGGGTCTGTCCTAGGAACCCGGGTATTCCCATCTCTGCCACAGCCCGTCCCTCACCTCCAGAGCTGTGAGCAGGAAGTCGTACAGGCCTCCTGTGTGGGTAGGGTCCATCATGTCTCGGATCAGGTGGATCTCAGCTCCCAGGTGCTGAATCCTGGCAAACACCCCCAGCACGACAGCAAGAGAGAGGAGAAAGGGCTGTCATGGACAGGCACCATGCAGTTGGGGATGGATCCCTGGCTGAAGGGCTAGACACTTCAGGTGTGGCTCTTGCTCTGCCTCTGGTGCCAACAGGACCTTGGAGTCCCCTTTTTGGGCCTCAGCCCCACCTCCCACCCCATCCATCCTGAGAAAGCTGCCTCTGTAGCCCTGACGTTTCCAGACTTCATTGACGATGAGACTGGGGTGGGCAGGGTGGAAACGGGTCTGGCTGCATCCACCCCAGCTCCAGCAGGCTCACCGGGCCCGCGACACCACATAGATGAGCAGTGGTAGCAGGTCGTCCATGGGCAGCTTGTGCTCCCGGCCCAGCACCCGCGCCACAGTGGCCTCGATTTCCCCATAAGTCTTCTCCAGCACCTCCAGCCTCTCCCGTGGATCCACCGTGGTGCTGCAGCAGGGGTAGATCTAGGTCAAGGTCCTCGGGCTCAGTCCCAGCCAGGGGGTCCCAGTGCTCCCGCATCCTGCCTCACACCCTCAGCGTGGGGACTCACATGATCTTCTGTAGGCACTCAGTGGCAGACAGGAAGCACTTGTCCCTGACCAGGGAGCACCTCTGTGGAGAGTAATGAGGGGTGAAGCTGGGCTGGCCCTGAGCCCCCGGCCACCCAGACCATCCCATCATTAACTTCAGCTCTACCCTGACGGCTGAGTGACCGGGAGTGGCCTAATTCCACAGACCTACCCAAGAGCTTGTGCAAACATAGATTCCAGATCCCACATCCTGGGCTTCTGACTCAGCAGTTGTAGGGTGGCCCAACAATCTGCTTTTCTTTTTTTTTTTTTCAGGCAGTACTGGGGTTTGAACTCAGGGCCTTGTGCTTGTTAGGCAAGCTCTCTAGCACTTGAGCCATGCTTCCAGCACTTTTGCTTTCAGTTTGTTTTTCAGATAGGGTCTTGTGCTTTTTGCATAAGGCTAGCCTCAGATCTCAATCCTCCTACTTATGCCTCCAGAGTAGCTGGGATCATAGAGATGTACCACCACACCATCTGGCTTGTTTATTGAGATGGGGGTCTCACTAACTTTTTGCCTAGGCTGGCCTCAAACTGCAGTCCTCCTACCTCCACCTTCAGAGTAGTTGGGATTACAGGTGTGCACCACCATGCCCACCCAGCAAGAATCTGCTTTTCTACTGGGGCATGACTTAAGTGGAAAACCTTTGTCTAACAAGCAAGAGGCCCTGAGTTCAAACCCTAATACTGCAAAGAAAAAAGAAAGGTTTTTTTTAAAATAAATAATTTGCTTTTCTAATAAGTTCCAGATGGTCCTGAGTCCACTGAATGGCACAGCAGCCTCTGGTGCCCTTCCCCCTCACAGCTCTCCTAGGAGGTGGGTTGCGTATGGATCCTTTTACACAGGAGGAAACTGAAACTCAGAGCTCAGGTATCGTTCTCATGGTCACGCAGCCAGGAGAGAGGCAGAGCCTGTGTTTGAGCCAGGCCACCAGAGGAGTAAGAACAGCGCAGGAAGCCTGGCACCTCCTGCCCCACCCACGTCTGCCTGACCCAGGGCTTAGGCTCTCCATCCTGGGGCCAGGCAGTGGCTGTCTTCTCACCTGATTGCTTGTCAGCTTGAGGTCCTTGAGAGGCCACAGGTGCCTGAAATTGGAAAAGTGAGACAGGAGACTTTGCCAGTCTGAGGGAGCAGAGTTGAGCTCAGAGTCTGAGCTGTCCCTATGACCCAGGAGGGCTGAGTGCAGGTGAGGGGAAGGGAATGGGTCCACAATAATATCCCTAGATGCACACATGGAGCCTGAGGCAAGGGGAGGGCAGAGGGCTCTGGAGGAAGAGCCCCTCACACTCTGTGTGACAAAGGGGACCTGGGTGCAGGAGGAGAGTGGCTGAGTGCCCACCGGGAATGAGGTCAAGCACCGGTGTCATCCATATATTAGAGAAGCACTAAGGAGAAAATATGTTTTAGAGACATTGGAGGATCAAGGTAGAAAGGGGCTCTTTATGGTGAAAACCTGCCCATCCATACCCAGAATAATACTCAGTTTCCCCTTGGGGACCTGCCCTTCCCCACTCTCAGTGCATGTGCCCAGCCTTATGGTGGACAGGCAGGTGACCCTGGTCAATGATAGCCAGCATTCAGGGTGGGCTTGACACCCATGCCAAACCAGGGAAGCTCCAAGGATTCTGGAGCTATGGGGAAGGAAATGCCAGTTCCCTGAGGGGACAAAGAGAGGACTGAGCTGGGAAAGTGGCATCCTTGAGTTGCTGCTGCCATGTTTGTCATCAGAAGGGGGAGCCAGAATAAAATCAAAGAAAGAGAGAAGGTGCTTTCCTTTGTGGGGTGGTTGAGCACCTAGATCCAGCCACACCTGAATACCTAATTCTAGAACTTCATGGTATATAAGCCAATTAGCCCACCCCCACTTTGTGCTGAAGACAGACAGCCTGAATTAAGAATGTATCATCTGCTACACTTGAGCACTGGCCTTGGTGGTGTGGGAGGCTTACTTCTGCACATCCAGGAACTCCAGCAGCTTGGTGTCTGGAAACAGGCTCAGGTTGGTGATGCCCTGGCTGTAGAGACTGTCCTCTTTCTCATGAAGAAGCAGGTAGAGCGTGAAGAGCTCTGAGTAGAAGCTGGGCAGCACGAGGGGTAGCATCAATCCATGTACCTGCAGGTCCCTGAGAGGCCAGAACAGGTCGCGGGGCATCATTACTGCCCTTTGAAGCACCTCTGGAGCTCCTAGTCCCACAGTGGGGCTCCCTAAAAACCATCTCTACACCACTCACTCCATCCATACCTGAGAGCACCTGTTTCCCTCACTTGACTTTGAGAACCAAGATGGCACCTGGGGTAGGATTTTATCCCCAGTTGACTGAAAGCAAATATCAGGGCCTTGAAGGGTAAGCAATATACAGCAAAACTCTCACTCATCAGCCCTTCCAGGCTGGCCCTGCTCTGCCTTCCAAGACACAGGGAATGTTCTACTTGACATGTAACCCCACACCCCAGGCCTCCTGCAACAAGGTGACAGAAAGGCCTCTCTGAGCAAAAGCAACCTGAAGGCAAGTTAGATTTGCTCCAAGCCTGTGGACACAGATTGAATGTCATAACTCCTGCATTGTGTGACCTCAGGCTCAGCCCCAGCAGCCTCAGTTTCCCCTCTGTATGCAGGAAAGAGGAAGGTGCTGAGACAGTTGTTCAGCCTCCACACACCTGAGAGGTGAGGCTGGGATGACACATTTGGAACAAAGATGGATTCTGTGCATTGTGGCAGTGCCCCTCCCTGGTTGCTCACAGGATAGAGGTCATGGGTCACCATGATGCACAAACGGTCAATGAACCATGCTCAGTCAATAGCATGAGTGCCCAGCACTTCCCCCAGAAGAGGCCCTCCCCCCAAGGGAGGCCTAGGAGCAAAGGCCAGGCCAGTACCTTGTCTCTGCATCTTCCTCCTCCAAGACCTGTCCCTTGAGCCCCAGGGCCACCTTCAGCAGACCCCTGCAACCCAACAAGAGGCAATGGCATGGCTGCTACCCACAGAACAGGAGCTCCACTTTTTCTATCACCAAAGGGGAGAGCAGGTGACTCTACTTCCCAGGCCCAGACATGGGGCCTTCAGAGCCAGGCCTTGCCAAGGCAGCTCCAAGGTCGGAGCTTAGATGACATGGGCCACAGTGGCCTGCCACCCCAGCAGCAGAAGGAACTGTAGTGCCAAGGTTCCTATCTGGAAGGTTCCATGGCTCACAGCTCAGCCTGGGACAAGAGATGGGGCCTGAGTGTGGGTCACCATCATCTCATAGCAGGGTTGGTCTCTCACCGGGGACTGCAGCAAGCCCTGGCTGTCATTTTTGACCTCTTTTTATCACAGCTACACACTCACTTCCCTCAGTCCCATGTCGCATGAGAACTAAGGTCAAGGCACCAAAGCTACAGGGCGCCAGGCAGAGCTGAGGCTTAGAAAGGACAAGCCTGGTGGTGGGACACTCACCTGTAGGTGGCCCAGAGCTCCTGGGCGTGCTGTTTCACCTCCTCCTGGGCCAGACCCTGTAGATGCTTGTTGGCCCCCATGCCCGCGTACGTAGCCTGGAAAGTCAGCATCAGCATCCGTAGCAGCTTCCCCAGGGGGTGCCGGGAGTTGCTGAGGGCCTGGTGTATGTGGGGGGGCAACAGGAACGCTCAGCAGCAGGGTCTGGAGCACAGTATGCACAGACAAGCCTCCCAGACTGCTCCCACTTCATAGACAGGAACACTGAGTCCCTCTGAGGACCAGGAGCCTCCAGGCCTGTCCCTTCCAGTCCACACTGTGCTATGAGAAATGGACCCCCTTCCCCAGCAGTGAGGACCCCCTTTCTCAGCAGGGCAGTGAGAGCATTGCCTTCTAGGCGTGCCCAGCCCTGGGTCCTCACCTTCCTGAGGTATTCCCGCAAGGCCTTGGGCTCCCGGTGCTGCAGCAACTCTTCCAGGGTGTCCTCCATACTCCCCGTGCTGTCCTTGGGGTGGCTGGGACACCATGCACAGTGTCCCTCACCACTCCCAGCAGCCTCCCCAGCCCTCTCTGGCCTGCAGGACCCGCACTGGAGGGCACTGGGCTCACCTCTCACAGCAGAGGTACTCCTGGGACCTGCGTAGCTCCCGTGAGCTCTGCACATGGAAGCCCAGCAGGGCCTCCTGCCGGTCCCCTGGGCATCCTGCATGCACAAAGGCCCGGAAGGGCCTGTACACTCCCTGCCACCGGTTCTCTACGGGGAAGGCACCCAGACCCAGCTGCCTGTGATGGGGAACAGAGAAAGGAGGGGAAGAGACAGAACTGCAGGGGGCAGGACCCTGTCCAGGCCCTGGGAGGGGTGGTGGTACAAGCCTGGCCCAGGGCAAGGCCTAGGATTGGGGCAGGGATTGGGGCATGCAGACAGGGCTGACCTCCAAGGCTCCAGGAGGAGAAAAAGAAGCAGAGAGGGGACAGAGGAAGTACTCTTCGATGGAGAAGAGACAGGGCACACAGAGTCCTGGAAAGACGGAGTCAGAAGGTGGCAGACCTGGAGAGCTGGAAGTCAAGTCCAGACCATGGAACTTGAACCAAAAGAGACCAGTGCCAGAAGTCAGGGATCCCCCCACTGCCCAGACCCCTGCTTTTCCCTTCCCCAAAGCCAGGGGCTGAGGCCTGGCTGTGTGTGTGTCCAATGGACAGTGTCTAGCAGAGAGCACTGCCCTTCTGTGCCACATTCAAAGGTTATCCTGTAATATCTGCATCCCACCCCATTGGGGCAGGCTTCTAGGGAATGTTTTCTCCCTGTTTTCAGGGAGAAGCAGCATGCAGGGGCAATTAGTTAACTCTCCCCACTCCCTACATCTGAAATGCTGTCTGGGACCACTCCACATTAGAACTGCCACCCACACAAATTCTCTTGCCTGCACATACCAAGTCTTTCAAAACAGACATGAGAATCACCGCTTGAATTAGTTTTCCAAGAAATAACTCTGTCCTCATAGGAAAAAACAACTAGCCCCCTCTCAAATACTGCTTGATAGTAATAGTGATTCCACTTAGCAAGTTTCCTTCTTCATCTTAGATGCCAGGGAACTCAGTCAGGCTAATAATGCTCAGCCAAAACTATTGCAGGACCCCTCTGCTTACCCCTTTCATTTCAGGTCAACACACAATTTTATTTTCTATTTTTTTCTTGTGTGTTTGTCTTATAAACTGTCTTGTATCCTTTCTAGGGAAAAAAAAAAAAGCAGGGTCAAGGAAAATTCTACAAGTCACATGTTTTCCCCAGTTTTACAGAGTATGGCATCATCTCCACCCAGCTCTGGACTCCAAGAGCCTCTGCCCAGAGGGTCAATGCCAAATCTCTAAACTCTCTGTAGGGCTGAGCCTCTCTGCTGAGACCCAAGTCCTTGGGGTGAACAAGGACATACACAGCATGCTCAAGAAGGTCCAAGTCAGGCAAGCCCAGCTCTTACCTCTTGCGGGTGTTGCTCGGGTCTGGCAGGACAGTGGCTGTGTCCAGCACACCCTGTGTGTACAGTCCTTTCCCTGCCCCACTGCCAAACGAGCCCTCCAGGGTGAAGCCATTGGGGAAGGTGACCTTGCCCTGGGAGTGGGGAGAGAGAGGCAGGAATGTCTGTGCATCCAGCTGGCCTTCTGTCTAACCACGCCAGGATTCATGCCTGTCCACTGGCAGGGGGGGTCAGCGGGGCTAAAGACTGATGATACTTCTCACTGTCCATTCCCACTGCCTCACCCAAGGGCTTCAGGAAGCTCTGCCCCCTGAGGAGCCCCACCAGCCGCTGTGGCCACCTCTCAGGAAGGCACAGGCTGAGAGATGGAGAAGGGGCTCCTGGGGCAGAGTGGAGCACTGCTGCTATGGGGCCGGGCTGGGCCAGGTGCAGAGATAGGGAGAGGCCTGGAGGGTGTCCCATGCACAGCATCCTTGATGGCCACCCATTGTGTGCCAGCAGGGTCCCCTCATCCTTGTCAAATCAAGCAACCCAGCATCTCCAAAGGCCCCCGCACAGCCCCACTGGGTGACTTAGCCAAGTCACCTCAGATGGGAATATGCAAATGACAGAGATTCTAGGGATGGCTGCTTTCTGGTGGTGATGGTGGCGGGTGGATGTGTATTCTGGACTAGGTGCCCATTGCAGGGACACGGGGCAAGTCATCTGTCCCCTCTCAGCCTGCTCCAGAATCAAGTGGCCACGTCTGCCCCCACCCCCACCCCCACCCCCGCTCCACCCTCCACGCTCCACACCTGTACCTGGCCCAAGGGGAAGGACAAGACACCAGCCATGGCCTCAGCCATGTAGTCCCAGTCTCCATGGCTCTCACCTTCCCCGTGAGTGTCAGGTCCCTGGTGAAGGTGCCCTCGTACAGGGAGTCATCTTCAGACAGGAGGATGCCTGGGCCCTTGGAAGGAAGCCAAGGAGAGTAGGAAGGGAGGGAGAGCCAGGAAACTGGGGATGGGGAGGGGAAGTGGACACTGACTACAGAGAGAGGGGCCCTGAGTCCTGTGACCCCCTCCCCAAGACTGTGCTGAAGTGGGACCCTCATTTTTGGCCTGTTGAGCCCCAACCCCATGGCTGGGTTTTTCTAAGCAGCTTTGGTCCTTGGCTCCTCCCCACAAGCAGCCTCTTCAGGAAGCCTCTGGGAACTCAGGAGAGGCTGGGCTTCTGAGCCTGCTTCCCTAACACAGACTGGGGGCCACCAAGGTGGATCAGCCCCCTTTTCCCATTGGCTGCCGGGAAACTCATTGACAAACGTGATATAGGTTACTCTCAAGAGATTTCTGACTCTATTTTTTGTGCCTACTCATGCCTTAAACTCCTCTTCCTTTGTAGGCTTCCTTCAATCCTTTCCAGAACAGAGTAGAACATAAACACACAAGCAATGATCCCAAGGCCAGCCATGGGCCAGAGTGCCATGGTGCATCAAGTACTGGGCAAAAGGGTGAGGCAGGAGGAAAGAGCTGGGGGGGTCAGGCTTAGGGGACCTGGGTCTGATCTTAGCTCTGCCACTCAGAATGTGACATCAGGCAGTTTTCTGATCCCTCAGGTCTGTTATTCACACACCTTTACCATTCATACCAAAGGAATAATGACCTCTGCTGCAGGACACCCGTGAGGGCCTTAGAGGGTGGGGGTGGCAGAGCCAGAGCCAAGGCACTCTGTGTGGGGGAAGGCAGCATGGGTGACTATGGCCTACTGAGGCCAGTGGTGTCATTACCACATTCCTCATTCTTGTTAATTCACTAACCTGTGTTGCTGATGGGGAAACTGAGGGTAGAAGGAGCTGGGGTTTGGATTAGGCTGGGGTACATGGGTAACAGAGCTAGGGTTTCCCCATAGTTTCCACCCTCAGGAACCCAGCTCCCTTCCCTGTCCACCCTGCCTGACCTCAGCACAGTTCTAGAGTCCCCAGGGCAGGGGATGCAGGGAGAGGGGAAGGAGCTCAGGACACCCAGGTCACCCACTCACCACCATCTTATCCACCTGGAAGGTGCCCTGGTAGCAGACCCCTGCCTGGGTGACCACAACTCCAGGGCCATGTCGTTGGTCCGCCTGCCACATGCCAATGTATCGCTCCCCCCTGGGGTAAAGAGGTGAGTCAGAATAGTCCCCAGGCACCTTCTGTGTTCCGAGTGCTCAGCTGCCAGGGGCTGGAGTGGTGGACAGATAAGGAACAGGGACACCTGAATCCACTCAGCTCAGATTGAAGTGGGTGATGGCTGGATCCCAAGAGGAACAGAGCGTGAAGGAGGAGGGGTTCTGCCTGGAGGACACCCTGAGAGGCAACAGACAGATCTGGGGGGACAGTGTGTGGTCCAGAAGGCTGAGGGGTGCGCAGGAGGTATGGCAGGGTGAGGTCAGAGGAGGAGGCATGGAACACCAGCCAAGGACACTCTGTGGCTGTCCCACAGACCTTAAATGGGAGCAGGGGTCAGAAGCTCTTGTCTGACAATGGAGGTGGACCAGACTTTGGGGACCTACAGTCAGGACAATGGAGCCCCCTTGGCTCGAGCCTCAGTAAGGAGGGAGTGAGAGGAAATCGGGGGTTTGAGAGACTGTGGGGACAGATGGCAAACCTGGGCCCTGAGCCAGCTGGGCCCAGGAGGGTCCTCTCTGTGAATGCTCACCTGTCACCATCATCCTCGATGCCATAGCCACTCCTCTGGCCCCTCTCCCAATGACCTGTGTACCTGAAGGGCTGAGGGGCATGCGGCGCACTGTCTAGAACCCCAAATCCATGCCGCAGGCCCTCCTGGAAGTAGCCCTTGTACACCTCGTCAGTGCCGTACCTGGAGAGGGTCACAAATGGCTGGCTCCACCTCACAGCACTGGACCCAGGGGACATGGCCATCCCACAAGCCCTCTCCCCAGCTGAGGTCACTTACTCACAGATACCATAGTCACACATGCTGCCTTCCCGCCAGTGGCACTTGTAACAGTCAAACTTGTCCTCGGAGCCCTGGGGCACCAGGCAGATGCCAAAGCTGACCATGGGGTTGGGTGGGATGGGAAGTGAGAGCCAGGGCCGCCTCCCAGCCCAGTCCTGACCTGGTACACCACAGTGTCCCCTCCATGCCTCCCAGGTGTCCCTGCCTCCAGGGACCCTCTCAGATGACAGGGAGGTTTCAGAGGTCTCAGCCCCCTCTTCTTCCAAGGCCCTTTCAGAACACCCCCTTCTTCCACCTTGGCCCCACACACCCTGGGGCACCTTCTACAGCACTCCCTCCAGGACCTCAAGCTGAGACCCACGCCCCTATTTAGGATACACACATGCACACGCACACCAGCATCAGCCTTACCCATGCTCCAGGCCCCAGCAGAAATCTCCAACGTGATTCCGGCCATCCGGCCACTTCAGGGTTCCCCTGGGACACAGGTAAGGTCCAAAGGCATCAGTCCACCAGATCCACACCTCCACACCTCAGCCACACACGCTCTCAGAGGCCCTCCCTTCCCTCACCCTCAGGATCTCCCTCCAGCTGGACTCTGCCCTCACCCAGCCCTCATCTGAGCACTGAGATCCCTTACAGAGAGCCCCTAGCCCTCTCTGCAACTGGCACAGCTTTGCTAGCAGTCTTGTGGGGCACTCTCATCACACCCTATGGGGAAAGTCTTAGAAACATCTGCGTTCTCTTTTTCCCTTGACCAACAGGAAGCTCAGAGCTACACTTCAAGTTCAAGCTAACTGTTAGTCAAAGAGATTTTTACCAGTCTCCTTCCTTCTTCCGATGTGGCATTGTTTTCTCAGTCTTTTTGGTCACAAGCCCCCTCCAGCCCTTTCTGGAAATAGGCAAGATATCCCTATTGCATAACCTTGCAAGTTCCTTCTGCTCTGTGGGTCAGTTTTCCCAGCTATAGCGCAGGCTGGGCCACATGTTCTTTAAAGGCCAGCCTGCTTGTGGGGTCACACAGACCTCACCTGGAACCTGCCCTGGGCCTTGGGCACAGCAAGCTAGACACCACTAGGCCTCAGTTTCTGTACCTATGTAATGGGTAAGAACATTTCTCCCTGGGATGCTTGTGTGGACCAAGAGAGAGAGGTGCACAGAGCCTTCCACCCTGCCAGATAACGCCACACCTAACAGAATCCTTCTGTCACCCTCCTACGAATGGACAGTGACTGCAGGCCCTGCAGGCCAGCTCCTGGCAGCTGCCCCTTGCTCTCCAAAGTCACCACTGTGATTTTTTCATTTGGCACAGACCTGGGCCAGGTCCCATCCCAGAGAACTTCAGAGATCCCTGAGGCCATGTTAGCCCTGTCAGTCCCTTGAATCCCTAGGAGGAGTCCTGCCCAACTCAGCTAAGTGTCAATGTCACTCACTTGCCATGTAGCTTGCCCCGGCACCACTCGCCCTCGTAGGTAGCCTGGCAGAACCGGCCCTCTCGGTGGAAGGTATATGCCACACAGCGGCAGGCGGGAGGCACGGATGGCTCCTGGCCTGCCCCCAGCACAGGGAAGTCCTTCTTCTCACGGAGGGCCTGGCACACAGCCTGGGTCACCTTCCATTGCCAAACCACCTGATGGGGATGGGAAGCACAGGCTAGGCATCCCTTAAAGAGGCCTTCTGGGCATGAAGACCAGTGGAACAGAATAGAGGATCCAGATATGAAGCCACACAACTATGAGCAACTTATCTTTGACAAAGGAGCTAAAAATATACGAT